CAGCCTGTTGTGATTTTTTGTTAATAAAATTTTACTGGAGGGACACTTGGATGGCTCAGACCATTAAGCATCTGACTTCAGCTCAGGTCCTGATCCCAGAGTCCTGGGATCAAGTCCTGCAGGAGGCTCCCTGCTGTGTGGGGAGCTTGTTTCTCCATCTCCCTCTACGTTCCACACTCCCTGCTTCTGCTATCTCTCTCTCTCTGTCAAATAAATAAAATATTTTTTAAAAATTTACTGGACATACAATACAGACATGCCCATTCACTTACGTGTGGTCTAAGCAGCTTTCATGCTATAATAGCAGAGTTTAGCAGTTTCAACAGAGACTATATGATCCAAAAGCCTAAAATATTACGATCTGGCCATTTCAGAGATACTTTGTTGACCGTTGGTCTATATACTTCAATTTAAAGCCAAATTAAAGCCAGATTCTCAAATCAGACTTAAGAAAAACAGCTAAATGTGATCTGCAAGAAACCCACATTAAATATAAAGAGATTGATAAGTTAGAAGTGGACCTCCAAAAAAAAATACAAAAATAAATGTTTGGTATAATTCCTCTGTGGGAAAAAAAAAAAGAAAAAAAGAAGTGGAAGACAGAAACGGTGATGCCAATAAACATTCATTATAAGCCATTCATTCATGGCTAAGATAACATCAGATGAGGTAGACTTCATAACGAGTATTATCACCAGAGATAAAAAAGAATATTTCCTAAGGATAAAATTGTCAATTCGCTAAAAAAAATAACATATTAAAATGTGTATGCATTTAATAACAGATGCAAAATATATAAAGCAAAAACAAACATAATTGAAATGAGAAATGGACAAATCTACAATTTTTTTGTTCATATTTTATTTATTTATTCGAGAGAGAGAGAGAGAGGCAGAGACACAGGCAGAAGGAGAAGCAGGCCCATGCAGGGAGCCTGACATGGGACTCAATCCCGGGTCTCCAGGATCATGCCCTGGGCTGAAGGCGGTGCTAAACCGCTGAGCCACCCAGGCTGCCCCAAATCTACAATTATAATGGGAGATATCAACACTCCTATCAGGAAGTGATAGACAAGATAGATAGAAAATTAGTAAACAAAAAGACCTGAACAACACTATCAACCAACTTGACATAATTGATAGTAATGAATATTTTATACCCAAACACCAGAATTCGCATTGGAGTGTTGGTGGAACATTCACCACTATTGGTTCCAATCAGCATAGTTATTAGTAGCAGATCTCTGTAGTTCAAAAGGGTCTTTGGAGTTTACAGACACCAAGACTGTGATTTCCTTTTCTCTTTCCGGAAGTTTATAGTTTCTGCTGTACAACATGAGAGGAAGCTGAAAGCCTAATTGCTGGTCTCTTGTATCCACTCTCATTTCTCTAAAAGTGACTCTTTCCAGTTGGGACAGTCTCCCTTGAATTTTATGAGGGTTCACAGCATAAGCATATAAAACATCAATACTAATTATACTCAGCACTGAGAGCAATAAAAGTGGTGCACAGCAGTGGCCCGAACAGCTCTACCAGATGGTCACAGCACCTTCTGTGGTAAGCGACAGACAAGACAGTATCTCCCTCTCTCTCCCCCTCACACCCACCAGAGAATGCCAAGGAGTCACGCTGTGGTCACTTGGCCTACTTGTCTGCCTGTGTGACCAGCTCCAGAAAATACTCAGTTTAAGAGACACATAACCCTTGCAGTTTGGCCTACTCAGCAGGAGGTTCAGGGATGCTCAGGGTCCGTGGCAATCTGCCTGCCCTGACACATAGTAATAAATCGGGTAGGTATTGATATAAAAACCGATGGACAAATAGATCAATGAAAACAGTGAATTCAGAGAAAGACCAAGTATAGGTTAAAATCTAATATAGGATAAATATGGAAATAAAGCATCACAAATCAAAAGAGGAAGGATAGATTGTTTTGTATATGATGTTATACATCATGTATAAAAAGTAGAATCCAGGGGCGCCTGGGTGGCTCAGTCAGTTAAAGCGTCTGCCTTCAGCTCAGGTCCATGATCTCTGGGTCCTGGGAAGGAGCCACGTATTGGGCTTCCTCTTCAGCAAGGAGTCTGCTTCTCTCTCTCTCTCTCTCTCTCTCCCCCTCCCCCTTCCCATCACTCGTTCTTTCTCTCTCTCAATAAATAAAAAAAAATCTTTTTTAAAAAAGTAGAATCCAGGGCAGCCTGGGTGGCCCAGGTGTTCAGCGCCACCTTCAGCCCAGGGCGTGACCCCGGGGTCCCGGGATCGAGTCCTACCTCAGGTTCCCTGCATGGAGCCTGCTGCTCCCTCTGCCTGTGTCTCTGCATCTCTCTCTCTCTCTGTGTGTGTGTCTCTCATGAATAAATAAAAGAAAAATGTTTTTTAAAAAATAAATAAAAATAAAAAGTAGAATCCAGGTTAATGAAAGAGAAAATATAAAAGCAATAAAAGAAAATGTCAGAATATGTATTTGTGATTTAGAGGTAGGGAAGAATTGTCTTTAAAATACTTGAGAAAAAAAAGGTAAAAATACTTGAGAAGCACAAATCCTTGGGCAAAAATTTGTTGAATATAGTTATATAAAAATTAAGTATTTTTGTTTAATGAAAAGTAGTATGGATAGAGTTAATAGAGGAGTGACAGACTGTAAGAAAAAATTTGCAGTATCAAAACTGACAATGTAAAAATATACAAGGAATTCCTTTAAGTCCACAATAGATTGATAACCCAAGAGAAAAAAGGGGGGCACGCATGTGAATAGGCAATTAAAACAGACAAAATCCCAAAAGCAATAAGCAGATCAAAAGATGTTCAAACTCAGTCGTAATCATAGAAGCAAATGAAAATAATCATGAAATATTATCTTACCCCTGTTAGTTTAGTTGAAATATAAAACTAGGTGATGGCAACTATAGTTGTATGTAAAGATATAGGCACTCCCTGTCAGTATTTAGTCTAATCAAGTCTACGCACACTCTGTGACTCAGCAAATACCCTCCTAGGTATGTAGCCTGAAGAGAGGCTCCCATTGATCCACAGGTGTCATACATAAAAATGCCTGTCGTTACCTTGATTATCGTGATAGGGATTCAGAGCAATCTGGGTTCCTATCACTGACTGAAGAGTAGACAGGTTAATTTTAGTGGATACACATGGAATCTTACAAAACATTTACAAAGACTGGGCTACATGTGCATGGAGTACCATGGCTGGTACTTCAGTGCTAAGTAAAAGATGTAAAATGAGATCTGTGATTTATCACACTTCCACAAATTAATAAACAGGCACGCACAAAAAAGCACATAATCAAATATACTTCAAATAGAATCAAATAATACATATAATATGTATTACAATGTTTGACAATGGTGAATGCAGAGAGTGAAACGAGAATGGGGACAAATGGGAATAGATAGATAGATGATAGATAGATCAAGATAGATGATAGATAGATAGATGATAGATAGAAAATAAGTAAGAATACTTCTTTCTCTTTTGAACTAGTTTAAAATAGCCTCAACTGGGGAAAACAACATAAGGTAAAGCATACAGGCAAGAAAGCATAAGCCTATAAAAACAAAGACAAATAACCCAATTTGAATAAAACAGAATGTTTCTAAAGCGGTAGCAGAACAGAAGCCTGGAAATGTAAGTTGGTAGGCTGAATTTGGACTATTTTTATCTAAAAAATAAGACATAAACTTTGCTAATATTCAATATATGGATTGACCCTGGAACTGTAGCTCATCATTGAAGACATCTATATGGGATCTATATGGAAGAAAAAATTTTTGAAGCTCCAAATTCTCCTAAAATGTATCCTAAATTTTTCTGTCTCAGTATAGCTAACATCTACGGGCACTTCCTATGGCTCTGTGATGTCATTTCCTTTTGTAGCTATTAGTTCCCTGCCGTGTTTGTACTTTACTCAACCCAGGCTGTCTGATAACAGATGTGATTTCCAGCTGTGTCTATATACCAACCACAGCGGGTTCATTAATAACAATTATTAAGTACTTTATGTTATAAATCGAGCCTCTGGCAATAGAGAAAACATCCAGTCATTTGTTTTATGGCCTCTTGTCAGAGCTAACTATAAATTCCCATTATCTCAACATTATCAGCACTGCAAAATGAATCTAAGCATGAGTCATAAATAAAACTACCAAACAGCTCAATCACTCGGGAAAGAACAGAGCATAAATTAACACTTGACGATGTAATGTTATATATGAACTTAAATAATAGCTCAGGCCTTCTTGTCAGCTAATTATGTAAATTATTATTTTTAAGACTTACATTTGTATTTGCATGACTGGTGCATTCATTTAGTCATACAATTAGAGTTCAATAAATATGCAGTCCATACATTGCCCTTCCATAACCTAAGAGTCCCTGCTGCTGATGTATGAAGTAGAGTGAAAATGAAGAGAGAGCTTTCAACTGAGAGAATGTCTCTTAGGACCATAGCAAGCAGTGGGGAAAAGTCACATTTTCCCTGAATAATACATTTGATAAGAGAAATCATTAAATTTAAGAAAATTAATAGAAGAAGAGCAGCAAACTATATGCATTATTGGTTCCTGGGTGAAAGTCCATATGGATTTTCAGTTAATTGTAAAAATATTTATTTAGTTATCCCTCTGTTTTGGGTCCAAGCTGTCATAAATGATGAAGACAGAACAGAAAGATAAGCTGAACACATGAATTCAATTTTTAAGAGAAAAATAGCTAATAAACACATGAAAAATGCTGAAACTCACTAACAACCAACTCATGCAAACTAAAATTATGAGGTATAATTTTTCATGTTTTAAAAGCTAATTCCCCGTAGTGGGGAGAAAGCAGTGAAATTGGAAATTCAGTCATTTATTGCCAGGCATACAAAGGGGTTCAAACCTGAAAGGCCATTTGTCGTTGTCTACCAAGAGTTCTAAAAATGTCCATCATGTTTTTTTTTAATTGAGGTATAACTGACATACAACACCATACTAGTTTCAGGTGTGAGGCTGGATGGAATGCTTCATAAATTTGTGTGTTGTCCTTGCACAGGGGCCATGCTGATCTCTGTATCATTCCAATCTTAGTATATGTGCTGCCAAAGCAAGCACAAGTGTTCATTACTTCCGATCAGTAATTCTAATTCTGGAAAATTTATAAGTTACAGATTTAGTACATGAATGTTAATGATGTAGAATTTATAATGGCAAAAAAAGAAATAGCAAATAATAAGGTTCATTATGGGAATGGGAAAATAGCTCAAATAAAGTCTAAAAGGAAATAGTCAAATAACTCACGGCACACCCACATGATGTGTGCCATCCAAAGTCATTTTGAGAAGATAATTTAACAGGAAAGTGCTCACAGAACACTTTTACTAGGTTATAAAATGTTATGTGTAGTATCATTTCCATTATTAACCATACTATGAAGTTTTTATACACATATTTACATATACAATACATAAGGCTAGAAGAAATACCCTAAAATATTGTTTTTTCACACAATGGAACTGTGAATACTTTCATCCTAATTCTCTGTATTTTCTAAAATTTCTTTCAGCAAGAGAAATAATATACAACAAATTCAGTTAGTAAGGTTTTCCAATTTACATTTTTCCAGGCCCATCCCATCTTGCCTTTCACGAAGTTCAACATAAAACCGGCCAACTGCATTTTCTCACTGCCCCCAAATCATGCTCTGCCTCCTAAACCAAACTTTTCTCAAGTTACATGTCATGTATGCACTCAAGGTGACAAAATTAGCGGAGCAACATTAGAGTTGGAATCTTAATGAACTCAGTTTTCTGCCTAGAATCATGTAGAAACAGGAATACCCTCAAAATACCAGTCAAAATCACACACACCCAAAATCATCTTTTCCTTATGTCTTTTAAACTACATCACCCACAACCAAACTGTTCAAAGTCCATTGTGCAGCTTCCGTATCTCCCGCACGCCTCTTTCTCCATACCTACACAAGGGTCCTCACCTTCTTCTAACCTTCCTTGCAATTCGGTGGCCCTCTTTGCCTTTATTATCTTTATCACATTACATCTTTTGTCTCTGACCAGTCTCCAGATTGACAAAAGTAGAACTATGAGAGGGCGAGCCTCAGTTTCCACATCTGTAAAAAAGTAGAATAATAAACCCTGTCCTCCCAATATCATAAATATCCTAAAACTGTAGAACATTGTACATGTTGTGACTATTGTAACTTCGTTTTTTCATTCATGCAATTCATTCATGCAATAGGATTACTGATGTATAACCAATACCCTGCAAGCACTATTTTACCCACAACTAGGGAAGTATTTATTTTTTGTTAATCCCTCTCCATGCCTTCCTGAACCGAATCCATCATTAATTCTATTTCACTTTCAATTTATATCTTAAGCCGTCCACAGTTCTTTGTGTCCATTATGGCCAATCAGTCAGAATGTCCAGTGGTTTCTTTAACAGACATGATAGGTCCAGTTATTTGGGTGGCACACAGGTCATGAAGCTCACACATAAGGGTATAAAACTACAAAAGAGAGGGGTGCCTGGGTAGCTCAGTTAGTTAAGCGTCTGTCTACAGCTTGGGTCATGATCCCGGGTTCCTGGGATTGAGCCCTGCATCGATCTCCCTGTTTCTCCCCCCACTCTGCCATTCCCCCTGCTTGTGCTTGCTCTCTCTCTCTCTCTCTCTCTCTCTCGTAAATAAATAAAATAAATACAATCTTTGAAAAAAAGAAAAGACTACAAAAGAGAAACTAGAGTCCATGAAAGGGATATTTATTTGCCATTGAACTCCGTAAGTCTGTGGGTTCAGGAGAGGGAGGTCTGCTGAAAGCCTCCTCCGATACACACAGCTACATTTTCCTCCTTGGCTGTGTGAGGTACAGCAGATGCCTATCAAAGCAACTCATTGAATACATTAAATATATTGAAATTGATAAATTACTTATTCAACTTTACAAAAGATATCTGAACGCATTACACTGTTTTTCCCATGGATGACTACACTACGGAAGTTTGCAAACCAAGCATGCACTCTGTATGAACTAAATACCTTAATTGTACTTAAAACAAAATCTTTGATCCTGACCGTTGACCTACAAGTCTACACACGGCCCCTTCCTATCTCTCCAGCCAGTATCCCCGTGGCTTATTCTGCTTACGTTGACTTTCTTTTCTTTACTATTTTGCCTCTTCCTCATATTTGTAGAGTGCCATCCCATTTGTTCTATTACACTGAATAATTTCCACAGGGGTTCAACCGTGTTGAAGCATGTATGTCAGACTGATGTGCGGGTTTGACAGGAGTGTATGTGGGGCTGAGGAGCTTCCTGGGATACTTCTAATAGGATAAGAAGCATCCAGCTACTGAAATGAGCTCAATCTATTAGCACTGTTCATTGAAATATAAAAGTGATTCTGAGGATGCCATGGCTCTATTACTAGCATTTGTTTCATTCCAATCCCACGGACTGGGAGATTTGTGATTTAAAGATTGTTGTGTAAAATCAGTAATTGCTTTTTCTCTTCTGGGAAACTGGTTCACTATATGAAGAAAAATAAGTTGGATCCCTACTGTTAGTCACTTGTTCAATATCTATTTCCCTCTTCTTTGCTGATTAAACTTTTATTTTATTTTGGGTGTCACTGTGTCAGGTTAAATTCTTGCTTCTGCTTTCTCCCTAAAAGCTTACCATGTCCATTGGCAGGCACATTTATGGCTAATGACACATAAGCAAGATGTTCCTGGGAAAGATTATTCTTTCTGGGAAAAAGGAATGGAGGTACTTGAGAAAGCTTTTTCCCTTTCTCATACCTTCATCCCTTGAATGTAGACATAATATCTAAACCTCCAGCAGCCATCTGATAACCATGAAATGATAAACATGAAGTAAAGGTCAAAAGATTCACAGAGAAGCTGTCCTGACACTATTAAGCTGCTAAACCAACTCTATCAGATATTTATTTCCAATTCTACATAACTCTCCCCCATTTATTTATGAGACAAGCAAAAATGTTTGTGAAGTCTAGATAGCTTCTGTGTTTTGGAGTTCAAGGGCCTACTGCTGATTATGTGGCCTCATGCTCCAGCAAAGCTGGAAAGCCCTTGAAACTCCAAAAACATGTGGTGGTTTGCAGTGGGGCAAAGAAAATATCTATATCCTTACTATGTTCAATGTTAAATATAAAATGTTAATTGAGACATTTTCCTGAAATTCTTATTTTCAAATAAGCAGTAATTATAGGGAAGACAGTGTCCAGCTGAGAATAAAGTTACTGAATTCTGGAAACTGAGACTTTAGCAGAAGCACCTAAGTGAAGGAATGTTTAGTTTATTCCTCTCAAACCATGACAGATCAACTGGTTGAATGTAATCAATAACGATATCAACATCCTAAATAGCATAAATAATAGGGTATCTCTAGATGATATTTATTAAACTTTATATTCTGAAAAGACATGCTTTATTTTTCAAGTATCCATGGAACGGTCATATAGATTGGTTCTGAGTCCTACGTTATAAGAAGACTTTGCATAAACGCTGGTTGTGCAGGTTACTAAACTCTCTACAGCTCCTTGTCCAAAATGATAGCCACTCGACAGAGATGGTTATTTAAACTGAAATGAGTTTAAATTAAATAAAATTTATTGGCCACATATGGCTATTGGACAGCACAGATACAGAACCATTTCACCACTGCAGAAAATTCTCTTGAACAGTGTTCTTTTCGGTATGGAGACACAGCTGTAGCTGGGACACCCCTCAGTCTGTAATCTATATAAGGGTTTGATTGCCACTAGAAAGTAAGCTCCATGAAGGAAAAGATTTTTATCAAAGTAACTGCTCTATCTCTAATGTCAAGACAATAGCTTATATATACCTGGTGGTCAACAAGTAATTGCTTAGTGAATTCAGAGCTCTCAATTCAGTTAGGTATAATAGGCAATATGTTTTATTCTCAAAATTTCTTGTACTTTTCTTGGCCTTGAAAGCTCAATCTGCCTAGAGCACACATAGAGCACACGTCTCCTTTTTTTTATTCCATTCAATTCCTGTTTAAATTTTAGTCCAGTGTGATGACTTTTATATTCTCATTTAAATGCAAAAGCTCAGTCTTTTCCCTCCTGTGTAGTTCTTCCCTACTGTGTTTCTCTCCTTTGTGTCTCCTTTCCTATTTACATGGAACACTTCATTTCTGACACTTCTAGTCACCAAATATGTGGAGGTTTGGCCCCCACTATAAGCAATTCTTTGCAACACCAACAATCCAAGTCAATTCTGACGCTGTCTATGTGGAGACACCACCAGATCCCACAGGTTAAGGGCTCAGTCCCACAAGACTGCCACCAACCCCCCCTACACACACACACAGACACACCTTCAGATGCCACCCACACATTCAGGTTATCACCTATACTTCTGAATAACTGGCTATAGGTTGGAAGATCGAAACACCTCCTCCTTGAGTCTGATTAATTTGCTAGAGTGGCTCACAGAACTCAGCGAAATGCTTGCTTACATCCACCAGTTCATTCAAGGATAATGATTCAGGATACAGATGAACAGCCAGATGAAATGATACAAAAGGTGAGGCCCAGGAGGATCCCAAGTACGAGAGTTTCTTTTTTTTTTTTTTATAAATTAATTTTTATTGGTGTTCAATTTACCAACATACAGAATAACACCCAGTGCTCATCCCGTCAAGTGTCCCCCTCCGTGCCCATCACCCATTCACCCCCACCCTCCGCCCTCCTCCCCTTCCACCACCCCTAGTTCAGAAAGGGACACAGAACATAAAGACTTCTAACTCTGGGAAATGAACTAGTACGAGAGTTTCTATCCCTGTGGAGATGGGGCCTGTCACCCTCCCGGTACATGGATGTGATCGCCAACCCGGATGCTCCCCAAACCCCATACTTCTGGGATTCTATGGAGGCTTCATCATACAGGCATGATTACCTCTCTGGAGTGGGAGTGGGGCAGAGCTGAAGATTCCAAGCTTCTAATCATGGCTTGGTCTTTCTGGTGACCAGTCCCCATCCAGGTGACATCCAGCACTGACTCAGAGTCACCTTATTAGAACACAAGGTGTTCCTACTGTTCTCACCAC